CGAAGAATCTGGAGACGGGGGCAGTTTTAGACTCTGGCTACAGAAGGCAGAAGCTACTGTGGACGTCACTAGGCCTCACCCTAGGTAACTCGGGAGGGTGGAAGGCCACAAAGTGTCAATGAAGCCTTCCTGCACTAGGCCTATATGAACCAAACTTCTTCCATGTTTAAACTCTAATCAACCTCAAAAGCCAGGCGCAATCGGAATATGTAAGCAACCAGTTATCTGTGTGCAACCCCCTGCTCACACCGGTATCAAGCGGTAATAATGAGGCCTGCATGTTTCTGGCTGAAGGGAAAAAGGACAAGATAACGGTTTAAAGAAGTTACTAACAAGCTAAACTTATAGCTGCCAAGAATGACTTAACTGCTTAAATGTAATCGTTATTTGCTTAGTAACTGTTACCAGGGAAGGGAGGGGTAGCGGGGGAGGAAGGGAGTATAAGGGGGGGGAGGTGAGGCTTAACTGCAAAATGTATAAAAGAAGAAAAACTGTTCCTGTTAGTGTGCTTGATTTGAGACTTGCCTGTCTCCTTGCACCGCTTTGGGATCCCAAATAAACTTTGTTTGCTTCTCCCCCTGGTGTGTTTATTGGCGCGAAGCACACTGGGCAACGAACCCCGCTGTTGCTGTCCTCGGGCCTCTGTGCCGGCAACACTACCACAACGTATATGGGACACTTAACAGCAGTAACTAAACGTGCAACCTAAAAGCATGAGGAGGTTTTTTACCCGCGAAAGCTTATGCCCAAATAAATCTATTAGTCTTTAAGGTGCCACCAGACTTCTTGTTGTTTTTGTGGATACAGACTAACATGGCTACCCCCTGATACATTTGTAGTGATATTTTATAGAGCTACCTGCAAAACAATTCCCCCCCCCGCCCCCAGCACACACCCATTTTATTCATCATGACATTGAAATAGCTCCAAAGAATTAATTTTCTGGCATTTGTCTAAAACTTTTCATATACGGTCCCAAGCTTTTCACAATAGCGTTCGCTTGCGTGCAACCCCCCCCCCAAAACCTTCAACCAAACACTTCGCCAAATGCAGTAAAAGTCTATTGTAGGGTCAGTATTCGGAAATTGTGAAGAAAATTTTAGATTACAGGTAAAAACCCTGCATTTACACAGGGCTTTCTACAGTTACAAAACTAAAATGTGAAAAGAGCAGTCATAACTTTCTAATTGCTGGCAGGGCCGAGATACCGGCACCCTCTGACACCTCCACCAGCACCTACCTGTTTTCTTGACTTTTGAGTTACTATCTTCAAAAAGCAACTCTTTCAAGCCTCCTCTCTTTTCCTGACTTTTTCAGATGGTTCCTAAAACTGCATCTTCTCCAACTAAACACATTGTTTCTAATCAAAGGCCTAATGCAATAAAAATGACATGAAAAAAGGTTGTACAATATGAATCATCTTAAACTTTTCAATAATAAATGCAAGAACAGAATGCAAAGATCGGAAGGGTGAGGAAGATCGAAAGATACACAAACACATCCCAGAAGCATGCAAAGAGGCAAATGAAAAATGGCTAGAACAAAGAGGCCTTGAAATAGAAGAACATGAAGTCAGACACAACCACAAAAGAAACCATAGAAAGACCGTGAGTCAAATAAGTTAAGGAAAGGAAGTTACGAAGAGGAACAAACTATATCAAAATTAATGAGTCAGAGTATGCTACAAAGCAAACAGCATCCTGGGAAGAAGGATGGAATACGTGAAGGAGCGTCTGATCCTGAAAAACTGGAAAATATAGAGATTGGAATTGGAGAAGAAAATACACCGGCTATTACAATGCGGAAACTAGGCAGAGCGCTAAAAAAATATAAAGCAAGGTCAAGAAGCTGGGGAGGAATATATTGCGGTTGAAATGCTACAATCCCTGTGTCACGGACTTACAGGTCGGTCCGTTGGGGGTGCCCCTTTCAGTGAGACAGCCCTTCGCGGGGGTCTACTCTCTCTCGGGGTCAGGCCCCTCCACCTCCTGGAGCCGCACCTCTCTGAGCCTTAGCATGTCTGTCTCTGCCGTGGGCCCCCTCAGGGAGTCCCCTCACTCTGGACCCCCGAGGTCTCCACCCCTGAAGGGGTTGATGCAACCCTGATCTCTAGACCGGAGTGACTCTCAGCCAGCGTAACACAGGAGGGTTTATTGAGCATTGAACACAGCACAGGAAACTCTCACGGCCTCAGGCCTGGCCTTCCTCAGCACAGCACATCCAAGCCTCCTCTGCCTGCTCCCCCTCTCCAGCTCCAGCCCCCCTGCTTCCCAGCTGGGCATCTGATATCACCGGCCCCAACCCCCGCCTCTGTCCTTTGTCTTCTCTCCAGGTAAACAGGGTCGTAAACTGGGCCTCCTCTCCTTGCTTCTGTCCTCTGGCTTGGACCGGCTGGTTAGGTCACTGGGTCCTTACTCTGCAGCCCATTGTCCGCCCACTGGCCAGAACCGGCTGCGTCTCCTCAGCTGGGCCTCCGGGTCACCAGGTCGCCAGGTCACCGGTCACTGGGGTATCCATCCTCCAGGCCATCGGCTGGGTCCCCACGTCCTCTCTCCGGTCCTCTGCAAAACACACTCCCTCTCCCCTCCCCTCGTTAAACCAGTAACACCCAGGCAAACTGCGTCCCACCCCCTCCACATGCAAACCATTGAAAACTCCACAGAAAACAAGAAAACCCCCCACTTCGTCACACCCTGAAGGACGATGCAAATTCTTACCTGCTCAAACTTCTCAATCAGATATACACACCAGGAGAACTTCTGGAGGACTCCAAGAGGTCAATCTCTATTCCTCACCAAAGGTTGATAATGCTAGAAACTGTGAAGAACATTGAACTGTAAACCCAAGAAGCCAGCCGTACACTCACAGATCTGTGTAATACTGTTCGCACATGGACACGTCTTGAGACAAGAATTAGCAGAAGTCAGATGGGTTTCGACCAGGAGTGAGTACGAGGGAGGCAGTTTTTGCCGCTAGGGTCTTATGTTAGCATGGGAAAGAAGAACTTTGTAAATAGACTATTGAAAGCGATTTGGCAACATCCAACATAACAAGATGATACATATCCTTGAAGAATGTAGGATTGACTTCCAAGATCTGTAATTAGTAACAAGCTCATTCTGGGGACAGAAAGCAGCAATCTGAATGAAGTATGAACTGCGTGTTGGAGCATTACAGAGGTAAATGCCATGGTTGCATTGTATAATTCCAGCTATTTAGCATATACATAGAAGTTAGAATAAGGGAATGTTTAGAAGACACCGACCAGGGCATACAGGTCAATAGCGTAGACATCAACAACATAAGACACACTACGGAACCAATTCATATCACTTTGAGGAACTTCAGAACATGCTTACTTTTGGGAGCGATGGCAGCAAGAAATATGGAAAGACGATTAACGATGGGAAGACAAAAAATATGGTAATATGTAAAGGCCATAATGCACATGGAAGGCAACACCTGTATCTTGACAGTCAAATGGTGAAACAAATGAATAGTTTCCCCTATTTAAGGAGTCTAATAACATCCGACTGAAGAGGGGAGGAAGAAACCAGGAGAAGGACACAGCTTGCAAAAAATGCATCCAACAACTTCCCACGACTTCTGTGTCGTCAAAAGTTAAAACGACACATCTACACTAGATTGCTGCAGTGCTACAAGTGGTCAGTCCTGTTGTACCAAAGAGAATAACATCTTTCTGTGGACACGTAGCTCGGTGATCGCAGATCAGCTCAATTCAAGGACACAGACAGTCCGGCAAGATGTCAGGCAAACCAGGAAGAGATAGAAGGAGAGTCAGCTAGGTTGGAACCGTCAGCAGACCGGCTGGTCTCCAAGGCAGAGGGGAAGTTTTATATCTCTGTCCCAATGGTGGAAGAGACCGTACCATGCTGACAGGTGGCTGTATTAGCTTTATCCCTGCCTCCACGTGGTACCTAGCAGAGGGTGAGAAGATTCGTCCCCCTGATCCCACAGCTATCAACGGGTTTGTTACCGTCCTCCAAAGCAAAACATACAAAGGGATAAGGTGCAAACCATTCAAGGATTTATTGAATCAAGGTAAGTGTAGCGAGGCGGTGTGGAGAGGGACGAGTCTCCAGGAATCAGATAGACATCCAAGAATGAAACTTAAGGGATGGCAGAAAACTTGGTTCACGCCAGGTGAAGAGAAATCTTGGGCTCCTTCCTTAGAGAAATTCTAGTTGTGCTCCAGCTTCCACCCACTTGACTCCCCTCCCCTCCCAGAGCCAAGGATAGGACCCAGGAGACCTGGCTCCTGGCCCCACTACTCTAACCACTAGGTCCCAGTCCCCTCCGGGAGCCAGGAGTAGAATCCAAGATGCCTCGTTTAATCCAACATACCCCTAGCAGGCCAGGAATAGAAGCTACGTTACTTTGGGCATCTGGTTCATGGCAGGTCTCTGACCTTTTAAACTCCAACTTTCAATTGAAGCTTTTCTTGCAATTATGTTTTTCTAAAAAATATCGGGGCTTGTTGAAAAAATTCTCCACCTTTTTTTCCACAACCAATCCAGAAAACAATTTTTGGGGGGAGGGGGATGGAGGGACGTGGAAAAGAAAATAATCGGGGGAGGAAACGAGAAACGTGGACAACATTTTTGAGGAATATTTTAGTGAAACTTTTTGGGTTAAAAAAACCGAAAGGCAAAGAAAAGGGATCTCCTTCTCAAAAACAACGCCTCGTTCCTCTAAAACAAATAACGAAAGCTGTTTCCCCCCCCCTCCCTTCTTGCGACTTTAAGCCAACAGATGCAATTCTTGGTCAGAGTTTCCAGGAATTTGCATAAACGAGCATTTGGCAAGTGCTCCGGCTTCTACATTCCTGGTTGGATCTTCCCGAAAATCCGTATGCCCGTAAAGGAGCCAGAGAAGAGCTAGCGAAGCAGAGTTGGCGTGACTTGGAGGGGGGATTCCTGAGATACAGCCTCTCCACCATTAAAAGTAGTGTGTGGCTTGGTGCCACTTCAGAGGAAGCCACATGTATATTGAGGAGTGTGTTTGACATGATAAGTGACTTAAGAATGGGGGTGGGGTGGTTTCCTGTCCTGCCGCCAAAGAGCTCAGAACGGAAGCATAGGACCAGAGGCAGTCTGCAAAAAGCCAGCTGAGAACAAAGAGACTGAGTTCTCTCTCTTGTTTTTGGTTCTTGCATGTATTTTTCCTAGATTCTCAGAACGAAGTCATTTAAGACAGCAGCCTTCCAGCTGGAGTATTTGCGGTTTGTCTCTGACTGCTCCAGGTGGACGCCGCGAACATACCAGCCACGAAGGTCTCAGTGATGTGGTTACCCCAGAACGGTGGAAATAGATCTGAGGAGCCACCCACCCTATCAACTGGATGTGGCTTGTGCAATCTCTCTTCTTATCTCGTTTCAGCACAACTGTGATCAATCCCCCAGCCGAGGATTTGGCTGAATCACAGACCACAGCGCCAATCTACTGCTTCCCCATCACCATGGAGGTTTCTCTTGTCGTCTGCATCCTCGCTGCTCTCCTGGCTACGGGTGAGTGGGGTCTGTTCCTACAGGGGCTGATTTCCTAACTTCTCCAACGGCCCAGAGCCGCCTGCCAGGTGAAACTGTTAACGCACGTAACCGAAAAGCAGCCACAGGATAACGGGGGCTGAGCTGGGGGCGTCAGAGTGACAACGTCCATGGAGGAGAGGGCTGGAAGTTACCAAGTCCCCGTGACAGCGAGTGAAACAATGGTGGAAATGGGAGGAAATATTTATTCTTTAAATCACTCGAACCGTGTTGTGACTGGGCACGTTTCAGAGCTGCGGAGGACAAGGACATTTTGAACAGGGACAAGGACATTCTTGTCTGTTGTCTGACAGGAAGCAGATCAAAACTTCCGTAAAAAGAGCTCAAAGTTATTTGAAGGGCATTTATATGTGATCCTCAGCTGGTGTCACGGGAGCGCAGCTGTACTGGAGTGGGTGGGGCCAGGGGCCAGCCAGTGTCAGGGGGGCCCAGCTGCACTGGAGTCGATGGCAGGTGTGACTTGGCCCTTGCTGCACTGCACCGGAGAGCGACACCAGCTCACACCCGCTGGGGATCTCTCTGGGGTTTGTGAGGTGGGAAAAACCGCTGGGGAAATGAAATCTGCAGCAAAATCCAGGGAGACGCAGCCACAGAGCAGTGTGAAATGTCTGTAGCCAACCGGGACCATCGACAAAGCTGGGGCAGCGCATTGATGAGGGATGAGGGACACCAGGGCGCTGTACTCGGAGCTTCGTCACAGAGTAGGGTGACCAGATAGCAAGGGTGAGAAATCAGGACAGGGGGTGGGGGGTAATTGGCACCTATATAAGATAAAGCCCCAAATATCAGGACTGTCCCTATAAAATTGGGACCTCTGGTCGCCCTACCACATTGCCCAGGGGAAGGTGAGGGAGGGACAAATCCAGGTGGCTCATGTTCTCTCTCCGTCCCCAGGGGCCTGTCTGCGGTGTGAGGTTTGCGATGAACCAGGAACCAGCTGCTCAGGTGACCTACAGACCTGCGATGTTGGGCAAGACACTTGTGGCATTGCTTGGACAGACTCCACATGGGGTAGGTGAGAGGGGCCCTAACCAACCTGGGTCAGAGAACAGGCTGGGGAGCTAGGACGCCTGGGTCCTATTCCAGTCCCAACTCTGGGAAGGGCGTGGGGTGGGTGGGTCTGAGCAGTGGTTAAGGAGCCAGGACACCTGGGTTCTATGTTAGACCCTGTGGGCTAGCTCCCCAACGGGGCCTTTCCCCTCTCCCCTTCTACAGTCGTGCCTGACCCCCTGGCTCCTGATGGGTCTCTCTCAGTCTCCCACATCCATGAGGCATGTCTATCCCACTGGGCTCTTGAGTGTATGGGGGGCACCCTTCCACCTCCTCCCGTGGCTGGGCTTTGTGCAGGGCCCAATCTGGTAGGGGCGCTCCGAGGGCATCCCCTGAATCAGGCTCCGCAGGGGAACACCTAGTCTGTGAATCCCCTTGCGGCTAAGGGGTGAGCGGGACACACGGCGTTGGGATTTCAGCGGCCCTGCATGTACCCTCGGTGGGAACTTTGACAACGAAAGGACTTTATGGGCAGGAGATTCGGGGCCGGGGAGCTGGAGGATCTAAATGTTGGATGTAGGTGCTGGACTCGCTTATCTAGCCCTGTGGGACCTTGGGTAAGCTGCTTCCCCACCCTGAGCCTCAGTTTCCCCATGGGTAGAGGAAGGCTAATGGCACCTGGGTGTCGTTGTGAAGAGGGCGTCGATGGGATGGGAGTGGAAGGGGAATAAATCTCTGTCTTCTCCTCCTATGCAGTGGGAAGCAAGACTCAGACAGTTATCAAAAAGTGTGTGTCCTCCGACCTGTGTAAAGCCAGCCCCTTCTCTGCAAATTTTGGTGATGCAATGACAAGGACAAGCTTCAAATGCTGCATGGGAAATGCCTGCAGAACCACCAATATTACAGGTACTTCTCCCCGTCTCTGCGTCTTCTCCTCCATCCCACAGCACCTCCCGCTGCCTGGAACCCACCCCAAGTTAGCTTCCTGAGACTGGTCCTCCGACCCTGCAGGGGGCGCCCCATTGAATAACACTGAGCCTGTGTGCAGGTGGAGTTTAGTGGGCGGGGCTCTAGGCTGCCTCCAGGTGTGAACCCAGCTGGCCCCACCCGGGGCGGGGTCCAGGGCTCCCTGCGGCAAACCTCTCCTCTGCCCCTGCTGCCTCCAGCGACCCCGGAGCTACAGCTCCCCCTGCAGGGGGCACCCAGGGCTGAGCTGTGCAGCCCCCAGCTGCTCTCCCTGCCCCGACGCCGCCTGGGGCGCGTCCCCCGAGCTGACTGCGTTTGCTCCACTTCTTCCCAGTGCCCCCGGCTGACCCCAAACCCAACGGCCGGCGCTGCCGTGGCTGCTACGCGATGAACGCTGATCATTGCAATGAGCAAACCATAAATTGTACTGGATCCGAGACCCAGTGTATTGATGCCACCGCGACCATAACAATTGGTAACTTCTGTTCATTCATTCTGGGGTTATTTTTCCTTTGTTGTTTCTCGCCCACCCCCTGTAGGGTTGCAGTGAGTCACTCTTTGGCGTCACTAAGTGAAGGGTATTGGCTGCAGATCAGGACGCCTGGGTCCTATTCTCAGCACTGGGCTTAGGTGTGACCTTGGGCCAGGTGTGACCTCCCTGTGTGTCTGGTTCTCCTCCCATCCGTTTCCTGTGTCGAGTTTAGTCTCTAAGCTACTCGTGATAGGGACTGGCTTAGTCTTGGCGGCCCCTGTTGTGCCAGGCGCTGCACAGACCTTAGATGGAGATTGGGGTCCCCTCTTGTACCTGATGCTAAAGGACTCCTGGTGAGATACAGTCCTTGCCCCCAAAAGCCTGCAATCTAAATAGGCAAAAGAAGGATCGTTCTCCCCATTTAAAAAATGGGGAAACTGGAACAGTTTGTGCCATGACTTGCCTAAATTCTCACAGGGAGGCTGTGGCAGTCCCATAATGGTGCCTTAAGTCACTACAAAGCCACCCTTCTTAGAGATCCCACCGCTGCCACCAGCACTGAGCTGCTGCTGCTAGATGAGCCGGCAAGGGCTATAACTGGCCTGACCCAATCCGGGTACTGACGGTGGTCTCTAGATCGGGGCTGTGAGTGATTTGTTCACGGACACACCGTGAGCCTGCGTCAGAGCGCAGGAGAAAGGGAATCCATGTAGGCCCAGACAGGCTGGGGGGGAGCAGAGCAGATGGGGAGATGTAGGCTGCGTGGCATCCTGGTGGGGCACTGGGGGTGGGGGGTGTTGTGTCTTAATCCAGCTTGAATAGCCTGACAAAAATTGCCTCCTCCCCCCTCCCCCCCACAGGTGGACATGAAAAGCAGACTGTCATGAAGGGCTGCGCTTCCAAGTCCATCTGCATCATGGCACAAGTGGCTTCGCAGATGTTCACAGATATCAGTGTAGATCTAACTGAGGTCGAATGCACAGAGGCCTCC